GGCGCCCTCCCCGGTTGCATCTGGGGTAGGCGCAGCCCAGGGGCCTCAGGCAGAGCCGGTGCCCGCGGCCGGGCACTTCCGGGAGGCCGCGCCGCCGGCCCTGCCCTCTCCGGCTGCCAGGGCCCAGGGTGGGTGCACGCTGCTGTCTGGGGCGCACAGGTGGGTCCCTGGGGGGCAACGGGCAGGGCCTCAGCCTCAGGCCTGTGGAGCCAGGGCCAGGCCTCCCTCCGCTCAGTGCTGCGGCCCCAGGCCGGGTGGACAGAGAGCAGGGAGCCGCCGGAGTGGGCCCCGGGCTTCCCGAGTGGGCTCGTCCTCGTGGGCGGCAGGCCCCAAGAAGGGGGGCGGGGGCGGGGACCCCGGGGGCCAATCCGAGGGGCGGCCTGCTGGCCCCCCCTGGAGAGCAGGCCTGCCTGTCAGCCCGGCCAGCGAGGGGCTGGGGGCGAGGGGCACCCACCGCCCGGAGCAGGGGACACGCAGGGCTGCGCACACATGACTTCGGCCTTTATTTTCCGCGCAGGGCGGAGACGGCCAGCCCTTATGTCCAGTCCCCCCAAAACACCTTGCAGGGGCGCTGGAGGGGGGCCCAGCCAGCTCCAGGCCTCAGCAGCCCCAGGGCGGGGTGCAGCAGCCAGACCGCCCCTGACCCCGCCCCTCCTGCCCTCCTGCCCAGAGGCCTCCCTGCAGCCCGCCCCCTCGGGGCTCCTCGCCAGCCAACAGCAGGGGCTGAGGAGATGCCCCCCATGCGCATCCCCAATTTTGCCCGAAGGGCTGTGACCCCCAGCCGCCACCCCAAGACGCCAACACTGGAGAAGCCCGCAGGGGGCCGCTGGCCGGGGAAGGACGCGGCGGTGCCCAGGCCCAGTTCTCCCCGGCCTCCTCCTGCTCCAGGTGGACCCGGGGCTTGTCTGACGCAGGCGGGGCCTGGAGAAGGACACAGACACCACTGTGGCCACGGCGCCGGGGCCGCACTCACCCGCGTGTGCCGGGGACGGGCGCCGGACACGCGCAGGGCTCCCCCTGTGGGGAACCTGCTCGATGGAGGCCTGGGCGGGAGGGGGCCCAGCCAAGGGGGCAGGCGCGGACCCCCAGCCCTCGGTGGGGACAGGTCAGGGCGTCCCCAGCTGCTGAGGCCAGCCAGAGGGCCACGGAGCCTCTGAGGGCAGGGCCGCCCTTCCCCACAAGGCCCGGACACTCGCCGCAGGAGGGGCCGCACGTCCAGGCGACGCCAGCCGCCCGTGAACGGGGGGGCCCTGAAGGCTCCCGTGGAGACAGCGAATCCACCACCACGCTGTACCCCTCTGGGACAGGGCCCCCGCCCCACCCCCCTGGGGCCCCTGCTCCCCAGCACACCCCCGAGCCCCCGCACTCACCCTGGCTCACCCCAGCCCAGAGGCAGCCTCCCAGGGTAGGGAGCACCTCACTTGCCACGCCCGGCCCCCCTTACCCTCCTGGGCCCGCATCAGCTGGGCCGGCAGGAGACGCACGGCAGACCAGGCCCCGCGAGGCTGGCAGGGCTGGCAGAGGGACGGAGGACGGTGGTCAGGGGCCTTGCTGACCCTTGCCGACCTGCGGGCGTCTCCTCGGGCCACCTGGCCTGGAGCTGGCCGGCTCACCTGCTGGGTCTCTTTGGGGGGCAGAGACCCAGGCGCCCTCCGCGGCTCTGGGGCTGCTGCTGGAAGCTGGGGCGCCTCATGCTCCCTGTCCCAGGGGCCGGCCAAGCCGCCCCCATCTGCAGGGAACCCCAGGAGGCTCCAAGTTCGGGTGCAAGATGGGGGGACTAAGGGAGTGACTGCGGGAGTGAGGGCGCTGGGCAGCCCCACCCAGGACAGAACAGGTGGCAGGGCGCGAGGCGCCCGCTGGGCTCTGGGGTGCTCCCGCGGCCCCAGCTGTGGTCCTGCGCCACTCGCCGGGCAGCGGCCTTCAGGAGGCAGCGCAGGCCGGGCGGGACGGGGGCCAGGACAGCACAG